CATCGTTAACAACGAGAGCTCGGAGATCATCCGCATATTCAACACCGAGTTCAACGACTTGATCTCTCCTGAGAAGGCGGCGATCGACTTGTACCCCAGCGAGCTGCGTTCAGAAATTGATGCTCTGAACGAGTGGATCTACCCGAGTATCAACAGTGCGTCCATCTATATGTGGCTATATGCGCGTCTAATCGGACCTTTAGATGGTGTTTACCGGACTGGATTCTCTTCTACGCAGGAGGCGTACTCGAAGGCCGTCGTCGAGGTCTTTGATGGCCTGGATAAAGCCGAGGAGATCTTGTCGAAGAACGAGTACCTCACAGGCGACAAGCTGACGGAGGCGGACGTTCGTCTGTGGGTCACAATTGTAAGTATCCACCTACACGCTGGTCACTTTGCTTACCGACTTTGGTTCTCAGATCCGATTCGACCCTGTCTACGTCGGCCACTTCAAATGCAACTTCCGCACCATCCGCGACGGGTATCCCGCTATCAACGCGTAAGCCGCGCACCTCTACTTTTTCTTCGCCTCATCTCACATTCATGCAGATGGATGAAGAAGCTGTACTGGCAGAACGATGCCTTCAAGTCCAGCACCCGCTTCGACCACATCAAGACCCACTATTACTGGTCACACCCGCACGTAAGCGCCTTTTCTTCTTGGGTGAGTAGCGGTCGAACTGACATGTTCGCAGATCAACCCGACCAGGATTGTACCCGCAGGCCCTGTCCCCGACATCGAGCCCCTATGAGTGGGCGCATTACAAGGACTCGGAGCCAAGCTCACAATGTCTGAAGGACGTCCATGTAACAACTATCACGAAGTTGAACGCTGGACTACGTAGGTCAATACCAGCGCATATATAGCGGTGTACAGTGCTGGTGTGGGTCTATCACAAGGTCTATCCCGCTTCAGTGAGTAGGTCCTGAGCCGGATTCCTTCAACTTGCTCGCATTCGCGTCAGCCATTCATGACGTCACGCGTCGCATCCATACGACTCCCGAGTTGCTTCCGAGGCCAGAGCTTGACGAGGCCACCGGCCGTCGGCTTCTGCCTGCCCTATCTCTCTTCGAGAACGGAGCGGATGGAAATCACTATTCTTTATCAGTCTGTGCCGTACATGTATATAAGCGCATGACACGGTCGTCGGCGTGTTTTGCTCGTCTCGACGCGTCCACAGGCATTCTCGGTATTCACAGGCATCCTCGGCGGCGACAAGTCTATTTGCTAGCATAACATGAAGTTCTCCACCACTCTTCTTGCACTGGCGACTGCCTTCGCCGCCCCCTTCGTCGCGGCACAGCAGGCGAACTTTACGTCGCCGCTCGGTGTGGAGATCTACAACCCGGCGGATGGGATTGACGCGACGGGCCCGTGGAGTCTGATGTCCGTGGCGGGGAACACGGTGTATGTTGCAGGTGAGTGAGGGTCCAATGTTCATTTGGTGCTGGCGGACGCTACACGTTGAATGCTGACGCTGCCCCCTAGGCATGCGCGGTATCTACCCGTCCAACAACTCCATGGCCGAAGTTGGCTACCCCCGCATCAAGCAGGCGTTCCTCAACATGCAGTACCTCGCCGAGTACGCGGGCGCGGAACTGGCAGACTGCTCGCGCGTGGTGGTGTATACGACGGATATGTTCAGGTGCGCACAGGCCCTTCTCTTTACATCACTGTGGACTCACGCTGATCCGTGCCCCCGTCATGTAGATATCGTCCCATTGTGAATGCCGTGCAGGAAGAGCTCTGGAAGAACGGGACGTACCCGCCGCGGACGATCATCGAGGTCTCGCGGCTGAACCAAGACGACATCGTCGAGGTGGAGGGGACGTTCTACCTGGGGACGGGCGGCGCAAAATATGTCTGAAGGACGGGCGCGGGATATTCGTGAGGACCAGTCGCATCAGTCGAAGTACAGACCAAGTCGATGTCTGGCAGCATGATGCTGCGCGAACAGAAGTTACAATCCATTTGTTGTGATACTGAAGAGGCAAAAGGAGTACAAGTGATACAGGAGGATGTGAGAGTCGTACAAGTAATGTGGAAGCGTCATTGATCGTCAGTTGAACTGGATTGAGCGCTGCGCGCCGCGTCGGACGCCGTTCTCTTCGAAAAACAGAGGTCGACGGAGGCATCGGGGATCCTGCTCAGCCGGATGTGTCCTTCAATGCTCGTGGTCGGGTCGGCGTGCTGAATGCGTCCGACAATGCTCCCTCTATACCACATACGAAATGTGCTTGAGCTCGACGTTCAAGCCCGCCCGGTGTCCACACCATCGCGCAGCAGCCGCTCGACAGCTGCAGATCGCGGCTTAATGTCGCACTTGAAGTCGACCGGGAAGCTATTGCCTCGTCAGCCATACGCACCGCCCACGCGCCCCGATGCACTCACATCTGCATGCCCGACGTATATTCGCCCGTCAGCGTCTCGCCCTCGATCGGCGTGATGTCGAAGCAGGCGAGGATGGAGGTGATGGTGAGCCACATCTGGTCCATCGCAAACTCGACGCCCGCGCAGGTGCGGCGACCGAAGCTGGATGCGGCGTCAGAATAAGGGCGAGTGAACTGAGACGGAGACGCACCCGAACGTGCCGTAGGGGCTCTTCGCGGGTGGGTAGAGGACGCCGTCCTTGAGATGCCGTTCGGGGCGGAAAACGCCTGGCTCTGCACCCCATTCGGATTCCTCGTGCAGCATAGCCCTGAGATTGGAATGAGATGTATCTCGCGAGACGTAACCGTTGAACGCACCAGGCATTGCCGATGACCACAGACCCCTTGGGGAGGAAGTACCCGTCGTAGATGTGGTCCTCCATAAGCCGATGAGAGAGACCTAAAACGCAGACGCCATCAGCCCCAGCAAGATACAGCAAGCCGTGCCAGATACGCACCGAGTGGGGCGACCGGCCGGTATCGCAGGACCTCCTTAATGATGGCATCGACATACGGCACGGCAACGTCGTCAGAGAAGTCGGGCAAATGACCGGTGCCGAAGGCGGCGTCGACGGCCTCCTGTCCCTTGCGCTGCACTTCAGGGTAGGTGGCCATCATGAGCACGAATGTCGAGAGAGCAGAGACGGTCTGGAGGAAACCGCAGTGTAAGTTTATGGGGGTTTGAGGAATGAAGAGCGCAACGCACTGTGTCTGCGCCGGCCTCGTAGGCGACGCCGAGAATGGCACGTAGTCCCTCGAGCTCTTCAGGCGTGCGGCATTTCTCAAGATGCTCCGACGCGATACAGGGCTCGGCCGTTCCTTTCTCCTGTGTCATGGAAACTCAGTGAGCGTATGCGCTGGCGATAGGAATAATGTAACGCACCATGCTCTCCTGCACATATTCGACGGGATATTTGTGGAAGCGCGACGCATCGTCGTTCCACTCGGCTGCTTCGCGCTTGAATCCCGCACCGGGCACCCAGGAGGGAAGCGCCTTGAGGAAGGGCAGCGAGTCGACGAGGTACGCGCCATGAATGCCCGTCGCCGCCATCGCGTTCAGCGCGCGTTGCGCACGGGCGACGAAGGGGTCGTTCTCGGGCAGCGCCTTGTACCCGTAGCATACGCGCAAGATAATAGCACCCGACGCGCTAAAGTTCGCGTCAGCGATAAGCGCGCAGGTGGAGTGGGAATCGGGTCACGTACTATCGCAGGTGTCTGATAAATTCGTCGGGGCGGTCAAGGAAGTCGACCAGGAGTTCGCGCGTGCCCTGCAGGATGGTAGGGTGGTAGTTGAATAGCGCGGGCGGGTGGAATTGCCGAACGAAGGCCTTGCGAAGCTCACGCCAGCGACGGCCGTAGGGCATGAAGGAGAAGTCCCAGCCAAATCCAACGCTGAGGATAACTTAGCTCACGCGTGTAACAGTAAGAAAAGCTGCTCACAGTTCAAGAAGCATAGGCATGCGCGGCCTGGTTCGCCCGATTTGTTAGAAAAAAAAATCAGAGGACTGAGAGTGCGCACCGGTCCGAGAATATGCTCGATTGCTTCTCAAATAGATCCTGCGCGACCTTGTTCGAGTTGATGATGAGGACGTCCGTACCGACTGTGTTGACGTAGAGGAGGTCGGAATCTGAAAGGGCTTCAGGTATCGTTTCGGCCACTGAAAGTGGAAGGACTTACTGTGTTGTTGCGACCAGTTCATGAAGGTAAACCATTCCTGAGCCCGCGGCCAGTCGAGTATGTTCCCAATAAGCGGCCATCCTTTGGGTCCAGGAGGCAGAGGATAGGCCTTGTCCTTCCTGAGGTACTTGACCAGCACAAACGCGATACTGATCACGCCCGCGAGCGTAGGTAGAGGAGGTAGCGTAGACGAGATCATGGCGGGTGGTGATCAGTGCAGAACAGGAACGCAGGATAGGATTATATACATAGCCCCAGCGCTTATCACGCGAGATGGGGGATAATGCAGCCTGCAGCCTGCAGCCTGCGGAGCGGAGGTGCTTCGAACGGGGACTAGTGTCATGCGACTGGCCACCGGGGGAAGCGAGGGGCGTCATCTGGATAACCAGTGACAAAGGAGACAGAAGGTGCTGTTCAAAGGTCAGCATAATCTCAGATAGCACGGCGTCATACGTACCCTGCGCCAACACGGGTCGCCCTTTGGTGTCTGCGGGCCGTCGTACTTAGTCTCGGGGTCGACAACTGCAGTGACGTGGAGTTTTAAGTAGAGGGAGGGCCGCCGCAAGTACAATTGCTTGGATTGCCGGTGCGTAAAGAGTCCACGATGAAGAAAGCATTATGCCAGCTTTATGCTATATTCGAAGGAGCTCTTCCCTCTCGATAGCCTTGGCGCGGCTAAGCACTGCGCTCGCTCGCATGAAAACCTGGATAAGGCGGGAGGCCGGCGGGAGGGCGGGCGTTGCCTGAGAGTCCTATACTACCCGAACATCGTGGTTGCATCCGCATGAAGATAAGGGCAAAGTCAACACAGGTCAATACGCAAGATTGATTGTCCACTGAACCACGTCACCTTCTACCTTGATGTATAGCTTTGTGACGAGCTATTCTTCAAGGCGAGATGGCCGAGCGGTCTAAGGCGCCAGACTAAGGATCAGTCAGTGTTCACTGACCCATCTGATTCCCCCAAGAATCATCTGGTCCTCCGGGGCGTGGGTTCGAATCCCACTCTCGTCACATTTTTGCACTTTTTAGGCGTACCGTTGTCTGATTCGCTATACTCACTGGAGGAATCCTGCCTTACAAGACCCATTGAACAAGGCCGCTGCGCAATAAGAAAGCTCGTGAGCTCTGGTTCGAATCTCGATGATGGTGAGTCACGGTCCCTAAACGGGGACTCGGACCGCACGACCCTTGTGATTGCTTCTTCAACTTGTTCGTGACCGTCATCGAGTTCGAGTTGAGCTAGCTGACTTAGACGGTCTGCACTGACCTTACTGTGTGATCTAGCGCGTAGCTGACGACTGTGTACAGATGGAAAGTACACACTGGGCGACTGCCTCAGATCTTCCACCAGAGCTCGTGGATGAGATCTTGACCTACATCGCGAACGACACAACCGACCTCCGTACATGCTCGCTCTTCACGCCAACCTGGACTCAGAGCTCCCGCGCGTATCTATTCCGTGCTGTGGATATACACCCTATCAAAGTCGTATCCAAAGAGGAAGGCGCGGGCACCATCTTTGACACGGAGGCTAGCCTCGCACGCGTACAGACCCTTCACGACGCGCTCGTGCGCTGCCCATACATCGGGGGCCTCGTGCAACACTTGAGCTTCTCGCTCGACTCGGCATCCTGCGCTCCAGACACGCCGCTCGCGCCACTGCTCGCGGATGTATTCCGCCGTTTGCACGCCGTGCAGAGTCTGACCTTGGAGGACATCATTTGGGACGGGCTTGCCGCAGACGTCCGTGACGCCCTCACCTCCGTACTCGTCCTTCCCTCCCTGTCCTTCCTGTCCCTCTCGCGCCTCACGTTCCCGACCTTTGTCGACCTCGCCCTACTCGTCGGGCGCCTCGGTCCCGGGCCCAAACAGCTCGCCGTAGGCGACATCGTGTATCACGCAGCCGTCAACGAAGCCGTGCGCGAGCAATTTGAGTCCTTGAACGCGCGCCCAGTGGCAGACCGACCGACTCTCGCGGCTCTGACAGAGACCTCGCCCGCGATGCGTGGTGCGGAGTTTGGCGCGTTGGCGAACTGGCTGGCGAGTGGCTACGGATGCGTGGAAGCGCGCAAAGTGGAGCGCATCAGTGCGAGTTGGAGCTCACTCTCGATGTTTCTACCGCTCGTCCACGCTTCGCGTCTAGCGTTGCGCGAGCTGCAGCTCTGTGCGCTCGTCGATCTTTCGCGTAAGTGTTCCTGCCATCCCCTGTCCTTCTCGTAGCTGACATTCTAATTTCTCTCCAGTATCCCCCTCGGGTAATCCGCCGATTGCGTTGGCCGACCTTCCCGCGCTCGAGGTGCTCGTCCTCGTGAACAACCAAGTCGATACGTACGATGCCGCCCCATGGCTCGCCGCCTTCCTCGACTCCCGTGCGGGGCCCACCGCCCTAGTCCGCATCGGCATGCGTCTCGTTCCACCGCGGCGCTGGCATCTGGATCCCGAGGACCACGCGCCACTGAGCATGTACGACTACGCACCATGGACAGAGGTCGATCGCGTGCTTTCAGAGGGCGCGGCGGATTTTCCTGCACTGAAGGAGCTGAACTTCGAGCTAGCAAATCCGATGGGGATGGACGTAGTGCGCGGGGTAAAGATGGATGCGGGTATGTTGCATAGCGCAATGGCGAAGATGAGGGAGAAGGGGATTCTGAGAGTGTACGGTTCCGGTGTGAAAAGGTAGAAGGAAGTACGACCTTCTCAGGAAGACGATGAAGAAAGAATTGCAGCAATGTACAGATTTTACAGACAAGATCTAGATAGGGATTAGAGACAATTGTGCGAGCTGTAAGGATTTAGGTGCTTTTCGACGCCCGCATCTAAGTAGCACAGGCAGTATGACTATTGTACAGGAGATTCGATTTCGACTTCGCGTAAAACGTTCAATGGCCGACGAATGATAACGACACACGGTCATGGAGAGCGGTGTATGGCGGGCGATGCAGAGGACAAGCCCGCGCCCATCACGTCTGGCGCTTCGGCCCGCCGCCGCAGTTGCGGAACTGGCGGATGCAGATGGCGTCCTGCAGAGCGCGCTCGCTGGCGGTGTCGATGTCGAGGATCGAGGCGTTGGCGGGATTGACCAGGCTCTTGTGCATGCCGTGGCCGTTGCTGACCTGCTGGCCCATAAGGGTGGGCGTGCGGCCCTTGGGGTTTGTACCCATGAATGTCGGCGCTGCGAGGGTGGCAGGGCTCGCAGCGAGGACAAATAGGGTGAGGACAGACGTGAGTTGCATCGTCTGCACAAAGACCCGTTCATTAATGGCTTTCACAAAGTCGAATGATTGACGCACGATTTGCCAGATCAGAAGGGGCGCCGGGCGCCAAGGTTCAGGCCGTAGTTGTTGCGACTGATGGTCTTCTGCAAGGCGGGCATTAGGAACGGGGGATGGGGAAATCGGACGCCGACGCAACGCACCAAGGTGTGGTATGGGGCGGGAGAGACAGAAGGGAAGGGAAAATTGACAGTGTCTCTCGCAACCGAGACATCGGTCGGGTACTTATACCTCTTGACGCTCTGACCAAGGCAGCGAGGCCGTGTCCAGTCGCGCGGTCGCTCCGCCCGCTGTCAGCCTGCCACGGCGCCTTCCAGACAGTCTCACCGCGATCGACGATCCGCGCGCTGGCGAGCCTGCTCGTGCGCGCTGTGCCACTCGAAAGCCGAAATAATGCATCCGTGCCGCAGGCGTATTGACGTGAGCCGCGTCTTTCGTGATTGTCTCCGCAAACGAAGAGAGGGAAAATGGGAGGGGCGAAAAAAAACTCTGGAAAATTGCACGCCGAGGACAGGTGCATTTGGCGGTTGACTGCAATATTGCTGCTGGTGAAGAGGATATGATTGACACGTAAAGAATTGCAGAGTAGGATCGACAGACGGGGCTGAGGGAGCAGGGCAGCAACAGGAGTGCGATAAATACGGGGTCGATTTGGGTCTGGATATTTCAACTCGAATTGCAGGCGCTGGCAGGTGCCATTGCACGTGAGCCTCTCCAATATTCGCCACGCACCTCGGCCATTTGCCCACGACGTATCTTGCTCGCCTCGCCCTAGGCTTGATCCAGCCAGGTCGACCTCGGAAGCCAGTCAGCGCGGCAAAGCTCTTCCAGAAGCAAGACTGAGAAATGTATGGGGAGCGGAGCAGTTCGAAATCGTCAGGACTCGAAGGACGTCTTCGAAAATATATCTGGCGGCAGCTCTCAGGTGGCTTCGAGTGATTTGTCGAGTAGGAGCTTTGTGGATTGGTCACTCACCTCCATGGAATGCGCCTTAAACCACGTCAGACGATTCTAACCAAGTTCTGTCATTGTAAAGTCAGTTCCTGCATAGTCCGACTCCGGCGATACGAGGACGCAGCCTGTGGGAGTCACGATGAGTTGTCTGCCGTTAAGTGCCCTACCTACTTCCTCGCCCCTCTCTATGCGCGGGCTGTGATTGAAGTCTGCGCGTTCAAGTTCTGGCTCAAAGTCTTCGCGAGCAGCGAAGAAGCCCGATCGGCGGTGGTACCGGACCAAGTCAGGGTTCATGCGTGAGGACAGTCATTGGTATACTGTATGTGGGTGAGAATGAGTGACGGAAGACCGACGGCCAGGAGAAAGCTGCGTGTAAGTATGATCGGCGAAGTGCGAGTGCAAGCGGAGGCCTTAGAAACAGCAGAAGCAACACGGGGGTCCAAGAGATGAGAGAACGCAGATCAGCCATCTGAGAAAGGTTCCACCTGGGAGCGAACTCTGACTTGGCTATATTCTCTTCAGACGAGAGTCAGATCATCACCGAAGAGCAGTGCAAGGCGATGGACGCCTTCGTCGCGCGATCTAGCAAAGCATGTTGTGGTGTAGATCCCTGGGCTCGTTCAGAGGGCAAATCACAAACAAAGTACCGTTTGCGGCCTCGCTTGGTGCTTGCGTACAGTGCGTTGGCAGCGTGTGCGATCCCGGGAACGAACGACTGCTTGGGGAGGGTCGGGAACCTAGGACTTACCCTCTGGCCGCCGTCAAGTCGAACAGCGTGCCTGCGTCGTACCCCCTCATCGATAACATGTATAGCGGCGTGCGCTCCCGTCGTACGCGCACATTTTGCGCCTGACCTCCCTGGGACCCGTTGTACCCCGCTCTTTCCAAAACGCCCCAAATCGGTCATGAGTGTGAGAACGTCGAGCAACGAGGATCAGAGGATGAAGAGACAGAGTCGAGCATTGCTTCGTGAGTAGCAGTCGGGTGGTAGAAAAGCAAGAGTATAAGGTACTGAACGCGGGGCACATGAGCAGAAGGGAAATGAATGGCAGGTGAGCGATTCTCACCATCGTGAGAATGAGGGCACGTGATGTCACGTGCTGGAAAGTTCGGCTTTTCCCATGCCGTTGTTCAGAACCTTTCCTTTCCCTATACTCAGCATAGTGTCAACCAGCCCACTGTTCATTCTTAGGCTGCCTATATGAACACTCATTCCATCAGCCGTGATATATGCACAAATATATCTGTAGACTCAGTCAAGTCGGGGAAGAGGATGTAAGTAGCAGTAGTCTGAGAAATGCGATTGATGCCCGACGATTCGAAGTTCTTTCGTTAGTCTCACGGCCGAGCTTGATCATGAACATCCCTCGCTGGCCAACGCGACATACTCCGGGCATATATTCCTGCAAGGCTTCGCAAGGCGCTACCGGCGGTCGGGCTGGGTGTGTCTCCGGAGATGCATACACAGGCGTGAATTGGCAGCTGGACTTCGCGCGCCCCGTTTCGCAGATTATGGTAGCCTATCACAGGCTCAGTGCCACTTAGTGCAGACTTAGTGTCGCGAGCTCTCAGGCTTGCGACTCCGCCTGCAGGATGCGGACCCGACGCGCGCGCATTAGCAAGCGAGTAATATGGGCAGTGCGGAGTCGGCCAGGTTCATGTGGGTAAGTACGTTCGATCCTGTTGGGGAGTTACTTACGTGTTATCGACGGGGACCGGACGGGGGCCACTCCCTGAGGACGGATGATCGACATTTGCTGATCTCTGCTATCCAGTTGAGAGATT